TGACATATATTCAAAACTTGTAAAGCTTAATAGATCTTATATTATGCATCATATTCTATACAGAGAAATAATATATAATATATGACATAGTCCATAACCTTCATTAAAGAGATAGATAATCTTTATTGTCATTTTTTTACTGTGGGCACACTGGCATTCTGTTGCCTGCTCTCAAAAGTGTACACATACATAACAGACATATAAACATGCTATATACATACATATGTATATATCTACACCCTTACATATAAATACATATAAATATTAATCACTGTCCATCTTAAATACATAGCAGAAAGAGGAAACTTTAAACTTCACAAGGTTGATACTATATGGAATAAAACTGTGACTGAATCTGGATGTTCTGCTTTGGATACCACAAAGCCTTCTCCCCGAAGGAAAACAGATTGCAAAGAGGATGTGTAGTGTCCCAGACAATATTGCAGACCTTGCTCAAGCAGTGCTTATATGCTGTGTCCTGGATAGAATGGAGTGAACTGCCAATAATCTTTTCTGTCATCTTCTCCACTCTCTGCACCGCCTTCCTGACTGAAGCAGTGATACTTCCAAACCAGACCATAATGTAATATGACAGGATGCTTTCAATCGTCCCTCTATAGAAAGTGGTAAGGACAGGGGAAGAAAGATGTACTTTTCTCATGTGATGCAGAAAATGCAGGTGCTGCTGTGCCCGCTTCACCAGTGTCTTGCTGTTGAGTGACCTTCATCATGCAGTGAACTGATTTTGGATGATGATGATGATAATGATGATGTGAGGATAATGGTGATGATGACCTGCACAGTACGATAGGAAGAAAAATGCAGTATTTTTGCTAGATTTGAATCTAATTGTAAGATAAAAGTATTTGCATGTAAAAAATTAACAAAATTAACAAACTCATGGTACTATTTTAGTGCTTTCCCTTTTTTCTATTTAATGTTTGCACATAATTATAGTCTAAAGTTTACAAGTCAAGTCAAAAGTTTATCTAATGTTTAAATGGATGCTTTGAAGATTTACAACACTATAGACACAACTTTGTTGCTATTTACAATTGCTGATAAAGTTTCTAGCTAAGTGCTGGGGATTTCTATCCAGAGGCATTTCAGTGTATATAGGAAGATAGGGGATCCTGTTTGCTCATCTGGTTTATTTCTCGTAAGCTTTGCATTTAAACATGACATATTCCAGACTCATGTCAAATCCTTTACTGATGCTTAGGTCCAGGCACAATGCTTTTTTAAAGTTAAGTGGAAGGATTTCTTTTTCCTGTCAGCCTATGCTTTAAAAATGTTTTTGTTATCATAATGGGCATCTTTGCAAATCTGAAGGTTCATTTAATCCACTCCTAGTAGCCATATTGCAGTTATCCTGTTTTTCACAAGCAGTAGATTTGAGGGGGTCACGGAGAAATTTAAAATGATTTTGTCCATCAATATAAATTTATAAAATTTACTATCAGAGCATATAAAAATGGCAGAAACTAGAAGCTATTTTCTGAGCACCATTCCCACGATAATCAAATGAATCACCATTCGGAAGCAGTTAGCCATGGAATATAGTGCTTGCTGGAAAACAACAGCGGGAAAGAAAACTGACTTCAAAGCCAACTGATCTTATCTGGGTCATTCCTCAGGCACATATCGCACACCCATCTTTTCTCCCAGCACTCTGTCCTCACACACCCCATGGCTTTTGCAGTCATTTCAAGGACTGCCAACTCCTGAGCATTACCCAGTGAAGTGTACTTCAGTCTTGAGAATCCATACTTTCACTGGTGGAAATAGTATTTATTTATCATCACAAAAGAGTCAAAGTGCCTTCTTTGGATAAACAGAGGGACAGAGATTGCTTGTATATATCGGGATGAAGGTCAGTTAAGGAAAAAAATACAGGAAAAGCAAATAAGTTATTTCATCCACTGGGCTCAGAACCAGAGAAACAGAGAGTTATATTCTAAAAGAAGAACTGAAACCAAGTCAAACATTAACTTTGTTGGGATGTTATCAGTTTCCTTACAGAAAATTCTTTTTTTAGGCTGTTTTCTACTGTTGATATATTAAAGTATGAAAGTGTGGGTTGAACTGAACAACCTGGCGTCTCTGGAAGAATGTAATGAATTGCCTTAAAAAAAAAACAAGTTGAAACAATAGCAGTTCAAGGTGCACTATTATGAACAGTGAAATATATATTACATTTTTTCCAATTAATGGCCCTATGCAAATATTTCACAATTGTCATTGAAACAGTAAGTATGAAACAACTGCCCTGAAACAATAAGCATGTTCATAAAAGCATGTACTGTATATGAATACAGATACTCTCCTAGAAGGATCTAGCTGCCTTTATGGAAAGGGAATTCTATGGAATCTAATTTGCTCATGCAGGAGCTTTTATTTTATGACTTTTGTTGTTGTTAATTGTAAAGTCGTGTCCGACCCATCCCGACCCCATGGACAACGTTCCTCCAGGTCTTCCTGTTCTCTACCATCTTCTGGAGTCCATTTAAGTTCACACCTACTGCTTCAGTGACTCCATCCAGCCATCTCATTCTCTGTCGTCCCCTTCTTCTATTGCCCTCAATCTCTCCCAGCATTAGGCCCTTCTCCAGTGAGTCCTTCCTTCTCATTAGGTGGCCAAAGTATTTGAGTTTCAACTTCAGAATCTGGCCTTCTAAAGAGCAGTCGGGTTGATCTCTTCTAGGACTGACCGGTTTGAACGCCTTGCAGTCCAAGGGACTTGCAGGAGTGTTCTCCAGCACCATAGTTCAAAGGTTTCAATTCTTTGGCGCTCAGCCATTCTTATGGTCCAACTTTCACAGCCATACATTGCAACGGGGAAACCATGGCCTGGACTATACGCACTTTTGTTGGCAGGGTGATGTCCCTGCTTTTTAGTATGCTGTCTAGATTTGCCATAGCTTTCCTCTCCAGGAGCAAGCGTCTTTTAATTTCTTGGCTGCAGTCCCCATATGAGGTGATCTTGGAGCCCAGAAAAATAAAATCTGTGTGGGACAATTGGAGATGAAAAACCCATCCCAGAATCAGTATATTTTTTTAAAAAATGTATTTAATAAAGCAGAATAATGAAAAAATAATGAAAGGGAAAGGAAAGAGGAAAGGAAAAGGAAGTAATACAATATGTAATTAACATGTAATATATTATTATTATTATCAGCCTAAACCAATCAATTGCAGGATAAATGACTTTTTCCTAAAGTTTATGGACTGACATCCATCACCCTGGTCAAGTGCAGGTTGATAAAGAGATGTTTTTCAGCTTCCCAGTCTAGGGCTCAGCTTGGTCTGTTGGTGTTGTTGCTTTCAACATGTTGTTTTTGTTTGATTATTACTTAGAACTATAGAGTCATAGAGTTGGGAAAATGTCCTAAAGGTCATCTCATTCAATCATCTGCCTATACAGGAAATCCTCATTTGTTAATTGTATGTGTATTTGAATATCTCTCTGCATGTGTAACTTTTGTTTTGCAAATGGTCTTGAGAGCAAATTTTGGGAAGGCAGAATAAGGAATAAGTCAGTGCTTTGCAACAGAAGATTCAATGATGGATATCTCCACCAGTGGAATAAAATCTCAGCTGATGCAAGTGGGGGGAAAAAATCTCTATTTTTATAATTTGAATTCCCTCAAAGTACGCATAGTAATCTTGTCATAGGTTCTCAACATAAACTTTTCTTATGGCTTCTTATACCCAGATTCTGAGATGCTGGTCCTCACATTTTTCACTATTTTTTATTGATGTCTTGCAAGTCTGAATGCACTTCTCCCTCCCTTCCTTTATCATTGTGTGGAAAGGGGAGAGGCTTGCTTCATACATAAGAAGAAAAGTAACATTTTCTCATGTTAGGTTTTTTGGCCTGGGCTTCTGCCCCTTTTATCTTACTATTGACTTGGTAGCAGCTCTTCCTCTTGTCCTTCAAGGCTATTCCCTTTTCCCTCTATCCATCCAGATAACTTTCAATTATCTGTTAAGGATAGTAGTACGGTAGCTGCATTACTCCTTATGGAAGACACCAACAGATAGGCATCCCCTGATAGCTGTATCTGTGAATTTTATTTTATTTACATTTCCAGGACCTATATGGCTGTCTAACTCTAATCAGCTCACAAAAATCCATTAAAACATGGTTAAAAATAAATGTATCCTTCCCCCCAGGTGCCAAACCAAATATGCTCCCAGTTCAACCCCCATCCTACCTCAATGCTTTGGAGAAGAGGCAGGTCTTCACAGCTCTCCAAATTGTTTGTGCGAGAGAAATCAATTAGATATAAATTTTTAACAACATTTAAACAGTCTTGTTTTTTTAAAAAAAAAAATCCTGGACATTTCTAATGTAAGAAACTTTGAACTCTTAGAAATTAAAAAGCTTAACTCAGTTAGTTATTATATACTGCAAGATTCAGAAGCTTCACAAGCAGCCCCATTCACTCTAACACAGCATATATTTGGCATTTCACCTAGCATATATACTGAGCTCTCAACCATCCTAGTAAATGGAGTATTCTCCATGAAGAGGCTCTTTTTTGATGGACGAAGTCAAGTTTTTAAACTCCTTTCAGAAGTATAGTCTTTTAATTTTTTTTTTTTAAAGCAATGGGAGAACTGGGCCAAGTCTTTCACATGGAGACAATCCTTCTCAAATTATCTGAAAGGAGCAGATGTACCAAATCACACCAGATTCAGTCTGTAAAGCTAATAATCCATTGTAATAGAATCCCAAGAGTTATCCTACTGTTTCAGGACTCCCACACACTCCTGTTCATTGAGCTATTGGTTTTGATGGGTGCACACAAAGAAGAAGCAAAAAAAATTATGATGGGTAGTTTGGATAGTTTCTGATCTTTCTGTTCTCTTGGATGCCAAGAAAATATTTTATTTCAACAACTATCAAGGTGTGTCAGAATCTTTTTTCGCTTGGAGCAATAATGATGTTGTCAAGCATTTCAAGTCAGACCTGCCCAGAAGTTTGGGTGGAGAGATATTCTGTGTTATACAGCATCTTCAGTGCTCCCTTGTGAGGAAGCCAGAGGTTGCTCCAAAGCCTGGGCAGAAGAACATCTGTGCAGTGTCTTTTTCCAGGCATTGCCACTGGGGGGGAGGGAAAGGTACAGTCACCTGGAGCATTATTGCCCCTTCCTTGGATTTAAGAAACTACAGATGAAATGGACTGGCTTCCTTACAGAGCAGCTGCTGTGCTGTTTATTTTAATGGTAAGATGGATTTTTTTTTTTATAAAAATCCAAATATTGATTTTTAGTAAAGGATCTTTTGTGTGGAGGTGATTTCTGTGGTTCCATTTTGCTTAAGTTAATGCTGATGGTGCAGGAATTTCTTAACTTAATTAATGGATATTCTTAAAAAGTGTATTTTTATTTTATTTAAGATGAAGTTGGAGATAGAAAAGCTTTTGGGTGCAATCCTCTTTCTTACCAAAGTGTAAATCCTTCACATTCAGGACATATTTCTTTATGTATAAGCATAATAACACAGTGTTGCAGTTAGTCTAAATGGAATAAAGATGTGGGTTTTAATTTGAATTAAAAGATTAAAATTTAATGATATACAAATATCAGTACATTGTTAACTCTAGCTTGACTGTTGATTTCAAAAACATGTGCATGTGGAATTAGCATGGTCCTCCATCATATTAGTGCTTCTGGCTTTTATACTTCTTTTTCCTAACTAAGGGAAATAGAGTTGATGCTAAGACCTCACAGGTGTAGAATTCATCTTAATTCTCAAGAATTCAATTCTGAGAACCATAGAGAGGCTGAGGATGTATACAGTATTCATCACCGATATTCTCCCATTCATAATTTCATAGCTTTTCTGGTATTCACAATTTTAACAATTAATTCTAAGTTTTAAGTAAACAGTACGTCTATACTGCATGTGTGTGTGTGTGTGTGTGTGTGTGTGTGTGTGTGTATTCTTTTGATGTGAAATTCTGTAACTCATTTCTACAACAAATGAAGCCAGCTCTGCTGTTTTTATTTCAGTAAAATCAAGCTCATCTGGAGAGACAGCTGTTCAAAAACTAACAAAAATATTTGGTACAACAAACAGGCTTCTTTAAATCTGGAGTGTTGCTTACAATGTGGAAATGGAATGGAATGGGATTAGGCTGTTCACCTAACAATCCACACTTCTCTGATCATCTAGCATACCAACTGCAGCCTCAGTTTTACTTGCAGCATCATGTCTTTTAGCATAAAATCCAGGTCCATTTAAAAAACTTTCTTAAAAAGGTAGACCTACAGGACTCAATCTAAGCTACTTACAACTCATGTCATGAATCCCACTAGTTTTGGGTCCTATGTATTTGTCAATAAATTTTCTTTTGGGACCTTCTTTGGGAGGATTTTTAGTATGCTTCTAATATTGTATTGAGAGGGAAGCTAGTCCTCATTTTTGAAAGAGAAAATGGATAAATTTATTAGGCATGTTGAATCTCTTTAACATACCTCACTGGTGAAGTGATGTGATTATCAAAAGCAGAACCAACAAGTATTTCAGAAGAACTTTGGAGGTTTTATATGAAGAAGTAGAATATAGGTCTTTGCAATAACATAGATAATTGCATAGGTCACAATATAAAATACATTGAAACCTATTTACGATTGATCGTCCTTGGAAGGAAGGAATATACACTGCTGAACATGTGAAATCCAAACAGTTATATGCATGGAAGATTCAACTATTAGTCTTATTCATAACACTTATTATTACTTAAACAATATTTAAGAGGGAGATGATACAATATTTCCCATCTCCAAATGTTTATTTCAAGAGACCAAATTACAGTATATAGTTGGGTTGTGTTTAGAGTATATGTATGGACTTGTTTTAAGAAGGCAAAGTAGCATAATATTTTTGCCACCTGCCTAATAAAAACCGGTTTATTACTACCATTTGTACTTCACTCAAAATGATTTGTAGTTCGTAGCAGCTAAACACTCTCTTTTTCTTAATTAAAAATGAGTTTGGATTGCTTCAATATGTAAAGTTAAGTTTTAGCCAATTTTAGAGATCTAAATAATTTTTCTCCAAGTTTTTTGTCTTTCTGCAATCATCATTTGTATACAATTCATATAAAGATTTGGAATACAAATCTTGACAAATTTGGTATCCTCCAACCTATTGCCTTATATTGCTAGATGGCATGATGGGAGTTGTAGTCCAAGACATCTGGAGGGCATCAGATGACAGAAGTTTCATTTACTGCAAGTTACAGTCCACCTGCAAGAGCATGTGAACTGTGGGTGGATTATTTTTTTCAGTAAAGATTAACAATCTTAAGAAAAATGAACTGTTTTCATATAAACCTAAATACAAAACAGGTAATAGCTTGTTATCAAAACTCTTGTAGCAAAATCACTGGTTTGTCTCCAGATTCTTAAAAGTTTTAGTAATGCTTACCTTTTTTTCAACAACACCCCCCCCCCAAAAAAATTAGTATCATTAATAATAATAAGCTGCTGGCCCAAAGGGAAAACATCATTGATTTCCAAAAGTGAACACTGGTTGTATCCATTCACTTAAAAAAATGTAGGGTTTACATCAGAGAAATATCAAATTCTAGAGGGCACTCACATGAAAGTTTGGCTAGGGTTAGGGTCCTGGAAAATGTTCCAGAATCAAAGAATGCTAAACTGCTTCTAGATCTTTTCCCCAAAACTAACCTCAATAGCTGATGGGTAGATTAAGATCATCAATTTTGTTCTTGTATTACAAGCAGTGGAAGACAACAATTTAGGAGGGAAAGGGCCTGGTAAAAAGAGATGCATTTCTCTATCTTCCTTTAAAAAGTATTTCTGATGAGTTGCAACCTGCAAAGTATTAAAACAAGAAACAGTTTGCCAGCATCTGAGTCTAAAGCACAGAATTACTTTATCTACCATGCTGCTAAGAATTTGGGGAATTCATAGTCACCAGAAGAGATATTTGAAAATTATTGATACTATGATTTTAATGCACAGCCCACACCTGATTCATGCATATTTGTTATGTAAAATAAAGAACCCAAGTTTTCTCACCAGCAAAGAACAAGCCAATGTCTATGCAACAGAGCTAAACTGCCTCTGTATTCTTTATGGTCTCTAACATAAAGAAAAGGCAAAGGTCCTCCCAAGTACTGTCACTTGTATGAAACTCATAAATGCTCATAAGAATGAGCATCCCCACCCATTGTAAAATACATGTTTAACCAGTCCAATGGGTCTCAGGGGAATAATTACAAGGGAGATGGAAATACATCTCCAGGTATGCATCTAAATTAGGATACAGGTATGCACAAAGCCCTGCATTCATTCAGAGAGCTCCTAACTTGGATCACATTCAATCAGTTTATGATCAAATTAACAATATAGTACATTATCAAAATGTACTATACTATCAAAATTCTCTCTCTCTCTCTTTCTCTCTCTCTCACACACACACACACTGATGTTGTAATCCTACTCAAAGATAAATTTAAAAATTAAAGATAAAGGAACTGAAGGCAACCTTAATTCCTGGTGATTTTACAGAGACATTCCCATTGAGATTTGGTCACAATATTAGAAGTGTTTTAACACTGCCATTTTTTCAATGTAACCAACTGCCCTATTTTGATTAGCTTTTGATACAATCCTACTTATCTGGGAATAAACTTTAAGGGCCTTATTTCTAAGTAAATAAGTCAAAGACAGTGATGCAAGCTGAGATTCTTTTTGGTGGGAATTTGAATATTTAATATTATTTATGTTTGAAGACATTACTGCCTGGTAGTTGATGGCAGAATTATAGAACTCTGGAGATAATTTAATAAAAGAAAGAAAGATCTAATCATGTACAGTTGGAGTGTTGGCTCAGGAATCAAATACCCAGTCCAAACTGCTGATACAACTGCATACTACAATGACACAATGATGACTAATAGCATAATGTGCTCAAATATCCAGCTTTGTTCACAGCAGTATTCTGCTTATCTTCAAAGGGAGCAGACTCAACTCCTAGAATGAACAGCACTGGGAAAGGGAACAGATCAGGAATTAAGGGCATGTTCAGTCATTTGGTTGCAAGTAGGTGGAGTAGGGAGTATTTCATAATTGCATATAATATTGCTTTGGCAAGAACCACAGTGAATTAATTCCTGTTTGCAGTTGGCTTTGAAGCTGAAGTTGCAAAGCAGCATGCTAAAGTTAGGGAACTGAGGCTACTCTCATTTACAATATTTTCATCTTGAACAAATGCTCATGATTTGGTCCTGATATTTATAAACAAATATGCCCATACTTACAGCACAAAGTGGTCAAAGCTGAAGGCCACTTCTTATTTGTTTTTACACATGTAGCTAACATAAGAACAGATAAAGAATAGAATTTTAAACCTCAATAACTTCAGACGCCTACTGTTAGCATTAAGGAATGTGATACAATTTAGCTTCAGTTTTTTTTTTTCTTGGTGTATAATGGATAATTAATCTTTGGTTTTGCTAATGTAAAATGGTTTATGTACATCTTTTCCGATTACCCAAACACAAACATGTTCTGTCTAGCACCAGAGTAAAAACTGAATTACAGTCAGATTTTCTGTTTTAAAAAAGGATCAAGGAGATTAACCATTCCTTCTTGATTCCAGGAGAGGCCATGCAGCTCTCAAAAAAGGTAAGGCAGGAATCAAAGCACCTCCCTTTCTCTTTATGTGTTGCCACATGTAAAGAAATGATGGGGCTTTGAAGGCATAGTCACCCTGCCAGCTTGAGTTTTTGGGGGCTCCTGGAGACATAGCAGCTAGTCCTACAATTAAAAGTGATATTTGATAGCTGCAATATTCCTTTCTAAGGCTGGATTCATTTGTCCCAAACTATCTGTTTCAGTTGGCAAAAGTTATTAACATTTGCTACTAATAAGGCTACTAACTGGGATTCCAACCTTAATTTCATATATTGAATTAGATCAATCATTTAATTACTCTTGAGAATTGTCGACCGACTTATCATTTTGATTGTGTATTCTTCTTAACCCTATGCTATACAAAATCTTAAGGAAATCACTAATTATACTCAGGGGAGCAGTCCAAATAAATGTCTGTGTTAATTGGCTTTCCATTTTTTAACTATAAGAAACAAAAGTCTGCATGCTTGGACTTTGGGAGAGGACCTTGGACCTCTCACTGCAAACAGCAGTTGGTTTCCAGATAATTTCTTTCCCAGTTATTTTATGCTGCA